AATGTTTCATACATCCATAAAGTAATGAATAGAATAGAATATAATAGAATAGAATAGTGTGGATAGGATAGAATGTAATAGTAGAATAGTCTTTATTGTCATTATACACAGATATAACGAAAATCTTTTTGGCTTCTCCGCTTCAATTCAATAACTTGACAGAACACAACCCATATCTGTAAATAAATAAATAACAATAGAATAAACGTAGCACGTGTGTGACGCTGTTATGTTGTGAATCAGGAAGCATCTGGAGCGGATCACCAGCATCTGGAGCCCAGAGAACGAGATCACCACAGTCAGCTACCTGCTGGATCAGATCGAGCAGATCCGGTCTGAGAGTGAAACCGGACCTCACTCCATCACGGTGGACATCCAGCGGCCCAGCGGCTGCTTCAGCATCAGCTGCTACGACTGTGTGACCAACATCGCCGTCAAACTCCAGCCAAAGACCAGCGCACAGCACAGAAATGCTCGCGAACTGCCACTTTGACTCCGTGGCCAACAGCCCCGGTGCGTTTCTACAGCGCTTCATCAACGCTTCAGTGAACCTGCTGTCGCTTACAGCTCAGGAGACACTGAGTTTATATGCTTTAATGAAGTTATGCTTCTTCCTTAATTCATCCTCAGAGACTTTGACAATCTCAGCCACGTCTCATTTGAGTTCAATTCAACGTTGTTTTAAGTATCAACATGATGCTACTCAGTTCTTGCAGTGAGTATTATGAAGCTCATTAGTGAGAGTTAATAAAATGTTATTGCTCAGAAGTTGCTCTTTAATAACTTCTAAGACTTAAATGAGATGTAATTGAGAATTGAATTAAGTATTTATCTTTGTCTCAGATGTTTCTCCTTAAGTGGGAAAATGAAAAAAAAGAATTAAATGAGTCTCTCTTCATCATTCAGTGATCAGAGTCTAGAGCGGTGAAGTGAATGTGGAGATCATTAAATGAGAAGTTACTGAGTTTGAGATATCTGACGTTTTACTGCAGACATGACCAGGAAATGCTCCATAGTTTCTTCATTAAACAAACACCCAACTCACTTCAATGGGCACAGAAAATGAAATCAGGTAGCAGAAGAAATGAAAAATATAAAAATAAGTTCTTTACAGTAATAACCTCTAATCAAAACAGAAGATCACAAGCCCCATTTGACTTGAAATAATGCAACCAATGTTAAAGAACCAATAAAGGTGTGCAAAACAACGGCAGTGGCCTATCTGTGCCTGATAAAACAGACAAAAACAAAAAAACACAACAGCATGAGCATACATGAGCAATCTGCACATTTTGCCACCTAAATGCACCACCCACAGTATACACAGTTCACATTTTAACCTCTTTTAAACATTAATCAGTAAATAGACTAAAGGTAACAGTATACACGTTATACAGGGTACAATACTTTTCATGCCATATAGGTAAACACACTTTGGGAGAAATGAATGAAAAACTCACTCTTATATGAGACTCTGGATTATCAATCACGGGGAAACTGGCACATGTGCGATCTCACATCATTGTTCTCCCCTCTTAACAGTATAATAGACAACAATTACTGCATGTTCCTTCCATACATGTATTACACTGTATTATTTTACATTATAACAGTCTTCAAAACATTTTAAATTAACTTACGCTCAATCTCCGTTGAAGTAGGCCTGAATCCCCTCCCCCACCGGAGATCTCCCATGTACAGCAACAAAACACTAATATAAACACTGAATTAAGCCATCCACTCTGTGCAGTCACACAACTGAAACCACCACAGCTCCACGAGCTGATAACCAGCCTGGATTATATCCGTTTAACAATTTTTAACAACTGTTTTCTCCTCACTTGTAACTGCTGCTTCTATCAGCGCTATCTCTGTTCCCCTCTGACGCACACTTTCTCTCTTGTGCTCATTCTCAAACTCTTAAAGGAGACAGCACGCATAACTGCATCATAGCGAAAACTTAAAGGGGAATCACCAGGGGAATTAAATATTGGACTATTCCTGCCCCGGTTACATATATGAATGGGCGTGTTATGTTATTTGCATTATTTATGGATATAGTGGATTATTACACTCCGCTGTCATCTGTTCTGTGAAATCCTGATCATTAGAAAATCAGGAAGTGAAACAGCAGTAACATCGATGTGTAAGTGAGTGTGTGCAAAAAGATGCACAGCATGAGTGTTTAATAGGCAGCATGTGATTTTGAGTGTTGTTGTTGTTCTGTCATGTTTAGATTGATGTCAAATCCCAGTCAGTTATGATTTGGCATTGGGTTTTAGCACTGCGTTTGATTGACAGGATTAAATTGTATTGTATAAATTGGTTTTATGTATTTGTAGTATGTTTTATTTTTTCTTTGAGTCATGTTTCTAGATCTGTGTGATTAATAATGTGTGTGTGTTTGTTGTTGTTGTTGTAGCCCTTTATTGTCACTGGTCTCAGGTACCAGCGAAATTAGCCATCCACCTGTCCATACATACAATA